TCGCATCGAAGAATGCATTCATTGCAACGAAATCAGCCGAACTGTATGCATAAATTTCCGATGTTTGATTCGTTATTGCTTCATTTTCATAGATTGTGACTTCAATTTCGATTGCTTTATGCCAATTGTCGGATTTTATTAATGGTCTTGTTGATTCAATCATCGACATTTCGTAGAACTTGTTTGTGAATACAAGATCCAAAACATTTCCAGCTGGATTTTCGATATTTGACAGTTGGTGGAAGCCACAATCAAACATAGCATCAAAAACAGCAATGCCACCTTCTGTCGACACATTTATTGGCAAATAATACTCGACGGAGATTCATTTATCCTTCGAAACAGATTTGCACCGAAACTAGGCTAATCTTCGAATTTGCCGAATATTGTCATGTGGAAAAAAGGACAAAAAAATATATATAATGAATAATATAAACGAAGGCCATCATCATTCGCCATTCATCATCTAGAAAAAGAAACCAAATATGAAAATGTATGACGCTTTTTAGTATTCAAAGAAATGAAAGTCATTGTTTTTCTTTTGGAAAAAAATGCCATCAAATCAACAGCAGATAAAAGAATTTTATCCGTATTAGGTTTGAATTGAATTGTTTTAAATAAGGCTTCATATTTGTCCGATTTGAATAGAAAAGCACATATAATGCAAATAATATAAATTAATCTTCTTATCGTTGAACCAAAACAGTTAAACAATATTCCACTTGTGCTGATGACCTGCGTCGGAATGGCACTGTATCCATTATCCATTAAATTGTAGAACATCGTTAAATGGGTGCAATTGCTAACATTTCCCTACTAAATAATGTTAAGCTAATCAAATTGTGTTAATTCAACCAAATTAAAATCTCAATAAATAAACTTGAAAAAAACAGCAAATTTCCGCTCAATTCTCGTGAATGGGTTATATTGAATTTAATGCACAACATGATACGTATCGTCTACGATAGGGGTATAAGACTATGACATTAATTTCCTGTGTGAATTATTCATGAAGTATATATATTTGTGCTCATCGTTCGAATAGTAAAATCTATGCTTTTCCGCATTCCGCCTCTTTGTGTGAAGCCTTACGATTTTCGATTCTGGCACGAATTATGGATTTATTTCCTCCAATTCAATTGATTGACTATCAACAATATATTCACGCGTTGTTTAGCATAGAAAATTGTTTTCCACCGTGAATAATATCGTATTGCAAAATACGTATCACATTACGTCGATTGGCAACAGGATTGAAGTAGTTGTGCCGACTAGATTTTGTGATTTTCAAGCTGCTGCAAAACGATTTGCTGAGAATGGGATTATTATTCGATGGCTGTCAAAACAAGAACTTTCGCTTTGTGGTGAGATGGTTTTGTGTGCGGTGCTCGGTTTGAGTTTACAAACTACTACTATCTAATAACAATTCATATTCCGGATGAAAACAGTGTTTGACACTTGAACAGCTTCTAAAGTTAACAATAACTTTGTTATATCAACTTTTTGATCAACATTTTACTGATATAGCTGGTAATATGAATGGCATTAAAGCAGGTAGGTGAACAGTCTGTGTACTGCATTTGTGTGCTGTTCACCAACTGATGGTGGAAATAGACCATCTTTGAAATGCTTGAAGCGTTCAATTGGATAAAATTCCAGTGAATTGTATATTTTGGTTTTGTGTTTTCGTTTGAAACATTTCAATATGTGTCATTCATTGCAGCGTCAAGTGTCAGACATCGTATTTGCTGCTGCTGTTGTTGTGGTGCTAGAATTATGTTCAATTCAAACAATTTCAAAATTGAAAATTACGAGAAAATGTTCCCTTCTTGAATGAAATGGTTGATACTTTGCTGATGGCACTTTAGCGTTGGCTGAATATCGATCATATGAAATATATGTTTTATCGATACACAAATACAATATTGAGACGGTTATATTCATTTCGTCAACTGCTTCAATCTACTTTATGCCAAAGTGCCAATATGAACAATTCAAAGAAATTGTGCTCGGAGCACAACAACAACAACAACAACAACAACAACAACAACAACAACAACAAC